CACACAGCAAAAGACGCAGTCACCGGTCGGACATCAACAAGCGCGAGTGAAGTTATTATAGTTTGACGAGGAAACCCTTCGAGTTAGGTCTCTACCTTCTGCTACAACCTGCCCGACTATCTTTTCAAAGGGACCATAATCCAGGGTAACTGACTTTGCAGTAAATTTAATTCCAACAATTTTGTTGTACACAATTATCTTGCTAGCACCGCATTTACTTAACAGCACATTGTAACACTCAAACGAATTTGTGCGAATTCGGTCAAGTGAATATGCTTACTGGTGATTCGGAGGTATCGATTCTATTGTATGGTAAAAGAACTCTCTTCGCCGGATGTCAAGAGGCATGTGATTAATCATGTGGCTTGTGAAAGCCGTCAGGTAGGGTCGTAGGCAAATGAAAAGCAACGAAAACGATAGTTTATTGCCTTCCAATTTTTTGATCTTCTGCAGAAATAAGTGACATGATTTTGAAAAAAGGCTGCTAATGCATCTTCGCTTGTATTGATTCGATTTTGATTTTAGTCTCCAGGTGAAATTGGCAAAGGAGTGCTTAGGATAGATTTCTGCACGATAAGCAAAACCACGTGTTGTTATGCGAGTCACTGGTTGGCTTTAAGGGAATAAAGAGTTCACCGCTAACGCATCTAGGAAGCAGACGTCTGCATTAGACCAAAAGGAGATATGGGCGCTGAAATGGTCAGCGAAGCCTGAAGGACTGTAAAAAGAAAATATTGGGTAACAAAATCCCACAAAATAAGCAAGATAAAACGGTCTAGAGGTAACTGGATATACCAGACACACTAACACGGGCAGGACACTTTACTAGTGTGAATTATCGAATGGAACCAATCGTGGAAAATTCGTGGCCTAGGTGGGCGTCGAATTCACACGGAAGTGAGGGTTATTGCGCAGCCACAGCTCTACCATTGAGCTACGAGACTCAAAATGAGCCGTGAATTAAATCACACTTGATTCTATTTACCCGCCCAACCTACCGTTCGTATGGAATCCACCATTACGGATACAGTAAACTGACTGGCCAGGCAGGCTTTCCTAAGCGATCCTCTAGAATCCACCAGAATTAATACTAGGCTAACTTATTTATAAGAAGGAGATGGTAGATTTGAATAAGGCAGTTGATCCAATTGTGAAAAATTTGCGGCCTCAGTGGTTGGGCGTTGGCTGCGCAAAAGCCTTCGACTTCCACCGAGGCCGCGAATTTTTCACAACTAGGCCAGCTGAGTAATCCAAGTGTGCAAAATCCTCCTGATAATGTGGATTAACTGTTCAGGGCGTACGCAGACTGGGATAATCTCTACGCCTTTAGCTCGCCGATGTGGACACGGTTTTTTACGCAGTGTAACCACTATATTGATATTTAATGCGGTCTGTGGCGTTTCTACGAAGGCACACCTATCGAAGTTCCAAAAAGAGCGCGCTACTTGCTTATTTGGGAGAATAAGACTATTTTTGAACAATGTGCATAAATAAGCCTGCAACTGCCATGTCATTAGCCTTCTTATTCGGAGAAGCTAACAGGGAGTTTTATCTGATCCGAATCACACATGTTTTTCTTTTTAATTCTACTATATCGCGGCCCTGAAGGTAACATAAAGTGTTTGTTTCATTCCCATAGCAACTTGCAGTTTTTTCTACAGAGGATAACGATTCTGCATGCCTTTTTTCTTGCAGATGGAAATCGAGCCACAAATTGGCTTCTGGAAGACGTTCGATGAACCAAGCCAAGATGAGTACATATCATGGCAAGAGGATTTCACACAGGCATCTGACGGATTGAACGCCACAGAGTATGATCCGGTGGAACTCCCCGATTCATTCTCTAGTACACCCACCGCCCAAGAAGTGAACTTAGAGCCAAAACTGTTGGAAAATAACCCTTTGAAGGCACCCTCCTGTGTGGTGTCAAGTATCCCTATTCAAAGACGCCTTGAAATCCCACCATCCAAAGACGAGACAGTCAAGAAACCTGGGGTGGCTCCGCGTTCACCTAAAATAAAATATGCCATCAAAAACAATAGTCCACAGTCTAAGTTAGTGATAAAACTGGTTCCCAAAAAACCAAGTTCCCACGCGGTCGATGTTTCAAAAACATTGTGTCTAATTTGCGAACGAACGTTTTTTGATCAGCGTTCCCTTAACACTCATCTGACGCGTATGCACGCCCCGACGCGAAACCTCCGCGACAATCCTGCGAACAGACCTAGTAAGTATATTATTTATGATTAATTTTCAAAAGGAAGGAATAGAAATTTGTCATCATGTATGATAAAATGACTCTGGTGTAGTGCATTTTAGCCCCACACTCATAATATCACTTGCTACCGACCAGCACAGATGCAATTACCGCCGGATAACTTGTGATTGCAATAAAAGCTCCTTGTAAGTAGACTATAATTCTATCGGCCATATCTGTAACCGCCTCATGGATGGATATTTGCCCAAAGCTCCTAGAGTGTTTAGTGTCCAAATTCTCACAATCTTGCACCTAACGACGTACTTCTGAGGGAAGACATAACCCCATATAATCAGAAATGTCACCGTTATTGGTAAATATTTAAACTATGGGGGCTCTAGTTGGGTGGTACCAGATTCACTCTGGCAGAACATCACTACTGTTTCAGACTCTGTGCACTCTCAGTAACGCTGGCAAGCTCACCGATACGAAACTTACGGGAAACACAGCAAACTTCAATATGCAAAATGACATGTGATAAGTAAACCGCTGGCAAATGTGTCTATGCCGTGCAGTCGCATGCAAAAGTTTATAGCAAATAAAAGTCTAAGTAGTCTACTGTAAATAAAATGTGATATCCAGCTGAGTACCCAATCGAGACAGACCAGTCCCAGGATCCCAGACCACATTTGCAAATTCAGTAAAATTAAAAGTCTTAAAATGACGCCGATAACGCGTTGTATATATTAAGGGCCTCTGTCAGCTGAATAAAGATCAAGTTACCATTTAATTTGATGGCAAAAAAGTGACTTATCCAGTTCTAACTGTTTATATTTGGATAGCATGCGGCGTCTTCACTGATGTCACCTGTCAATTTAACTTGAAAGCAAAACTCGCCAACGAAAATACAAAATCCGGGTGCAGAAAATGTAATAAGTACAATGAAATTGATGCAGTCTAACTGTTAACGCCGCAGTATCCAACCGAAAGATCTAAGACTCGAGAGATGACTTACAAACGGGTGTCGTAGCAGGTACTTAAGGGCAGGGTGGTCTTAAGGCCTCCTGGCCTACGCTAATCGCGCTAGTCTTAGTCAGTTGATTGCCAAATAATTACATGCGTATAGGTAGCCTTAACACGACGTCAGTTACAGTGCTAAATCTCATCCTCAGGAGAATTGGATCACGCAAACCACGAGAAAGAAAGCTGAGTGAGTTTAACTCACACAGGTCTCTACACCACAAGACAAGTCTACGTGATCTGAATTACCACGAGGTGCAAAAGACAGGACTTTCAGTGCGCCTTTTAGCTGGTAGAATAATTCGATCATCCCTCCAAACGCATGAGATATTTTGGCACTCCCCGCGAGCTACTCTACCCCCTCTCTGCATGCGGGTACATGTTCCGTTTTGACTGAAGTTCTGCGTGGCACACACAGGCCGCGGTCGTTGCCTCAGTGATTACACCCATGTATGGCTTCTAGTGATACTGACTCAACTTCATCCTTGAAGTAGAGTGAGCCCAGGGCGTGGTAGATGATACTTATGTCGTCTTTACTAGAAAGGAATTGACACCCGTTCTCATTATGCAACACCCTGAACTACAAGGCCTTCGCACTTGCAATCTCCGAACTATGGGATATCGAGCAGAGCTGGAGAAGTATACCTCTACAATAAGGCCATTGTTAGAGGGGTACTGTGTTCTCAGAGGACAGGATATTTATGTAGGCCTGTGAAACGGAATACGAGCAACAAGTTTGGCGTAAAATTCTTGATTTTGGACGATCATATTAGGACAGTTCCTACAACAAGGCAAATGTCAGCGTTGAGGATGTTTGAAAACAGTCATATCTTTGGTAGATAGGCGTACACCAATCAGTTACAGGGCACACCCACCCTGGTTGTTGATGTCCTGTGTGTCCGTGCACCCACAAACGTGCCACATGGCTGATTGTAATTTTAC